CTCCAAGCAGCAGGTCTAGAGTTCAAATCTTATGGACGACAATTTTGAAAAATAGATTTGTGTTTTGATAACCTGTATAAGATAATTGGATTAGGGTATCTGTAACTTAAGTCACACTAGAGCATAGTATTTCTGGAAGATCTGCTGGCGTTCATACAACTAAAGAAACTCGGGGACCATGAAAGAATGCAAACCGGCTTAGGGCAGTGCAAACTCTCGATAAGTCCAAGATTGTGTAAATCTTAGAAATCTCTTTTGCATATAGAAACCCATTTGGAAAGTTCTGAATTAAAATTAGTGGCTAACTTTCGATGGTACTATAGAGTAAAGACTATACTGGGAACTCAACCAGAGGCCTGGCGATTATGACCCTTATAGGCGGGTTTACACCAACCTGGCCATTGGAGGATGAGGGGACTCCACAGGCTAACTGGATTGGAAGAAGGAATGTCTCCAAAGCTGAACTCATGCATCAGGAAATGTTGGTACTGGGGTTGGTTATGAACTTAATAAGGGCAGAAGTAAAGTAATGAAGGACTAATTAGGAAGGTTGTACTTGAGATACAGATTGTGTTATGGCAGCATCCCAAAAGATGGCTTGAGATACGAACACAATGACGGCAGACAATATGTACTAATTGGGAAGTAATTACCGAACGAGCATGCACTATCATGTGTGGGACATGTAATGCGATGTCAGGTTTACCTCAAGGATGATCTAGATAGTCCTAAGGCGGGTTGTAATATATATAGTTAAAATTATTGTAAATACTACTAACCCCGATTTAACTATAATAAAATTCACCGACCAAAAAGGTTACCTTAAAGAGAAAAAAAAAAAAAAAAAATTTAAAAAAAATTAAACTTAATTATTTAAAAAAGTACTGCATTGAATTTTATAATTTTTTTTTTATTTGAAAGCTTTAGATTTAAATAATAATTTGTATAATTTTTAGCTTTATATCTTATTTATTTAGCTCAGTATAAAATTTTAAAAAGTGTTTACAATAATATGGTACTTTCTCACCCGATTACTAATTTAAATATCTATATATGATCTGCTATATGAGATTTTACCTCCTTATAAACTGTCCTGCAATTAGACTGGTTTCTAAATCACCGAATAGTTCCCAAACCTATTATATCATATATATCTTGCTTATATACTATTATACAATGTTCACTAACCAACTTCTGCTCTTATTACTTATCACATTACTCCTAATTCATTTCTTGTATTACTTCCAAATTGGTGTTTCTCGAGTAGCACTCTTCATGTTTCCAGTTTGGTGTCCCTAGAGAAGTTACTTTAAGAACCTAATTTATATCTCAAACAGGTGCTACTATAGTTATAGGGCTCATATCTCAAGCCACTTGCTGCTATACTAGAGTGTTATTTCACATCAATCCAGATATTTGTGTTATATACCACCAAATTAGACTACTGCTCCTTTTATGTACTCCCTATCAGTATGGTGTTACAGAAGTCTAGATCCTTAAAATGGAAGTTAAGTACCTCATTTAAAAGATAGTTAAAATTAAAGTTAAAATTAAAGTTAAATTTAAAATAAAAATTGTAAAAAAATATTTTTTATTAGTTATATAATAGAAGTTATTTAATAAAATTTTATAAATAAAAAATAAATATATTTTATTTAAAATATAAATTTTTACTATAAATATTATAAATTTTATTTTTTTAAATATAAAATTTTAAATTCTTTTTATTAAAAACACCAAATATTTTATATAAGCTAACCAATCAAAATTACAATATTTATTTAACTAATTTAACTAAAATGCAACTTTCAATATATTTAATGCAGATGGTGAAAAGCATTCTTAGCATGCTGGAAAGACATTGAAAAGCCTACTTACTGGTGCCAGATACCTAATCCAAATAAAATAAATTTTTTAAAAATTTTTGTTTTTTATAATAAATAGCAGTTTTTATATTTTACTGTATAATAATTTTAAATATTGCGTATATAACTTTGATATTTAGATATTTTAAAAAATTTTAATAATTATAACTGTATTTTTTTAAAAAAAAACAATTGCAAATTTAATAAAGCAATCAAGTTTTATACAAAAATTAATAATATAAGAAATAAAATTAATCTAATTTTTTTTTTTAAAAAAAAAAGCGAAATTTATTTGCAAGTTTTTTAGCACATTGGTATTGCGAGAAAAAATTAACTATATATGTAATACATATTCATTTATATATATAGTTAGAGATAATGACTACATATTACGTAATATTTTGGGGGAGGGGGTAAAAAAGTAATCTAAGACATGCGGCACTTTTTTGTGATCAAATTCGTAACACAATAAAACTAATATCACCGAAAATTTGCTTGTAAACAAGAAATATTTGGCAATAAAAATAATAACCAATTATATATTTTTAAAAGATACGTATCGGTATTTATTTTCAAATCTATCAAATTTATTTTATCAAATTTGTTTTATCAAATTTGTTTTATCAAAAAAAATTTTATCAAATTTATTGGTAATTAGTACGTAATAAAAAAAGGAAATAAAAAAAAGAATTATCAGATTTAAAAGGGACCAGTTTATTTTTTTTTTTTAAAAAAAAAATTTTAATAATATAAATATATATATAATGGTAATAATAATAGTCAAATTAGATTTAACGTCAAAATCTCAAAAATTACAAAAATAGACCATAATTAGATAAATAAAAGAAAACGATATGATATTGGGATGAAAATTTCCAAAAAAAGAAGATCGCCAATTAAAGCAAACAGATCTAATAAAATTAAATCTAAATAAGACGAAAAAAATGTAGAGATCTTTGTTATCTACATCAAGATACGTACGATATTTGAAAGATAATCTTTTTGGAAAGGTCACGAGATATCGGGTAAAACATCTAGATAAGACAAAGTAGATATTCATACAGGTACGTACAATAAGAGAAAGATTCCCATGACTCAAAGAGGTTCAATTAATCAAAATAGGATTAGTAAACTGCAAGCAATGCGTAAAGTTTTCTTTGTTGTTAGAGAAGTAAAAACCAAATTAGATGGTGGTGAACAATCACGGCATGACTATCGGGATTCGTGCTGAAAGCAATTTAGGGACAGACAATAGCATAAACAGATTAGAATAACAATAAAATCGGCAAGTTATGTTGTGAAACTACGATTATCTATATAGGGGAGATCAAGGTTAGAAAGAAGGTTAGTACAAAATACACATTTTTTTTTTTAGTGGTACTAAAAGTAAAGGGGAAAACTAAAAAGGATTGGTTTCCAACGATCTAAAGATGTATACCCCGAAAGTTATGTCACTATTCGTTAGTATCACAACATACTATATTAATTCAAGTGTGATCAGCGAAATAACGATTGATTGATTCGATCGAAATTAGGATTATTTCGATCAAACTCTCGTTTTTAATCTGCATAGGCATACATAGTGATGCCTGAGATCGAATTACTGATTTGGGTTGAAACATTCTAGCCTAGCTTATCTTATTCATGCAATGAAAATCATTGTGCAAAATTCGGAGGCCGCGCTGTTCCGTATTTCCGTTCCCACATTTGTATTATAATCCTGGGGTTCTTCATGAATCAAAAAAATATACATAAATATGCGTAAATATATGCGTTTTATCTTATTAATCTCAGACAAAAACTTGAAAAAATTGTCACACTACAGCATGTATTAAAAGTACACAATGATAATCCCAAGACGCGATGCACTTTTTGTTTCACAACAATTAAAATTTTTGAAAAGTGCATACAAATATTTTGTCTGTGCCAATGTCATGCCAATAAACCAACCGCGTACGTCATTTTGTGTCACCTAAAATTTTTGTGAATAAATTTTTAAATAAATGCGCATTGGCTCCCACATTTAAATCTTCTTCAATAATTTGTAAGTTTTTAAGACAAGGTTCGAATATGCATAGATTTCTTCGTGCTTAAATGTTTGACTTGTGTCATCATTAATTCGCGCACGATTATTTATTGTAACTAAGATTATGGTAATTTGTTTACGGCGATAAAGTTAGTGAATTGGCAAGTTTATGTCACAAAAATTGTACGAGGAACAAGTTGCGAACCAGATTTCTATAAAATTAAAAATCTCGATCAAACTATGCAGTACTGTTAGAATTGTTTTTCTTTTATTTATTTGCTGTCAGTCGGCGGAGTCCTTTGACCAAAATAATCTGGGCCCCACCCCCAGCCAAAAATCATATATATATATATATATACAATATATATAATATATATATTTTATATAATTATTATTATTATTATTAAGGCTTTGAACTTTGACCTTTTTTTTTTTAATCATATATTGGGGATCTCATTAAAAAAATTGTAATTATTTGATAAGGAAGAATGAGATACCGTCAACACATTGTGATGCCATGTGATACTTTGCATCTTTTCTCTGCAGTAACATTTCTTGTGCATTAACAAAAATGAGTCTTATCCCATGACCAAAAAAAAAAACCAAAAAGACGGCTTTTTAATGAGCTTGGGTTTAAACTTTGTTCTTCCTATAGACAGTCACTCTAGAATCTGTATATAGATTTTTTCTTATGCTAAATTTTTACCATTTTTTGATTCTTTCATTAAACCAAAAGTAAAAAAAATAAAAAAATAAAGTAAAGAGGAAAAAAAGGTAAAAAAAAAAAAGAAAAAAGTAAAAGAAAAAATAAAAATACCCCTGTTTAAATCTTTCTGAATACATATTCATGGATAACATAACATGTTCGTTACCTTCGATCGATCACATGACTTCAAAACAACAATTATTAATGACATCATCATCTCTAATTAGATGGTAAGTGATAAATAAGGAGTGTTTTGAAATTTTATTCTTTTGGAATTTGCAAGTCCACTCTTTCCCGGTTCCTTTATATTATTTTATTTTCTTTTTTTTTTTTTTTTTTTTTTCTTCCTTGATAGAAGTTAATGAAATAAAAATAAAAAATAAAGTATAATAATTTAAGTGATATGTTCGATTTTAGTGGCCACAAGGCGATTGATGAGTCCAAAGAGAAGCTTCCGCCATTATCGGTTTTGTTGCATCCAACACATCATTCTCGCCAAACTCCCGAAAATTTAACAGAAAATAGACTAGATGCTTGCCAGGATTCTGCAAAAATCCATCAATCTCCAAATAATTCACCTCTTGCCCGAGGACACTACAATATTATGCGTCAAGAAGATCTCGAACGGCAACAACATGTTCAACAGTTATCAGATTCATCCACACCTTCGTTTTCGACTTCAAACGATGATGGAGTACATTCTTCACGCGTATTGTCGGATGTTCGTTTACCTTCTATCAATCATGTTTATCCCCCTCAACGATCGGTGAATGCCCCTTTGCATCATGAAAGGTCTCTTCAATTGCAACAAAGTCGTTCAGAAACTTTTAGTCAAAATAATTTATCACCTATATGGTCAAGACAACAAGCTCCTCAGCAATCGCCGAGACAATCTTCCGGTTCTCTACATGATTCTAGTCCTAGCGCCAAACCCCCTGTCCGATTCGTTAATAATATTCATTCACCAGAATATATTCGTTCTAATTCTTTTGCAAAAAATTCTTCTCACTCTTCTGCTTTAAATTCTCAAAACCTTGAGAAAGTTTTGGCAGATATGCAAAAGGTAATTACATAATTTTATAATTATTCTTAAAAGTTATTACCCCATTTTCAATATTGAATAAAAAAAATACAATTTAAAAAAGTTAATAATATTAAATCGTTTACATATCAACTTTCTTTTTAGATAACTGAACATTGCTCTCTGATTAGCCAATTTGCTGCGCAATATGGTGATTACAGAATCCAAATGAATAAATTTGGTCAATTTCCTTCAACTACATGGACTGCTAACCACGGCATGTCTCCGGAGGCCCAGATTCCAGAAATGATAAATAAAACTTATGAAATTCTGGGTGTATTGAATAATATCAAAAGTGATCTTGGTCAGACTACTTCGGTATGTTATATATATATTTATATATACTTTTTTTTATATGTTTGAAGGCATATTTTGTAAGTTATATCTTAATCCTTTTTAAAATTTTTAGAGTGATCAAGAAACGATAAATCTTATTAGGACAAAGAGAACTACCGTTGGACCTTCAGCAACGCGGACGAAATATCGGAAGCGAAGTGTAAATTGAATTAATCCTATCACTATCAAAAAACTATATGATTTTTTTTCATGCCACAAAAACCAATTCATATTTTTCTTTTTTAAATGCTTAGAAACGCGCGGCACCTCCCGGAAGATGCCACTCTTGTAATATATCTGAAACTCCCGAGTGGCGTCGAGGCCCTGACGGTGCCAGAACTTTATGTAATGCTTGTGGCTTACGTGAGTTTCAAGTTATAAATTAAATAAATGAAATAAATGCTAATATTATATATTAATCTATATTAATTATATATATTATTGTTATAGATTTTGCAAAATTGACCCGGAAAAGAGCTCTTACAGCAATGCATCAACAGTCTATACAACCGCCGCCTAAAATTCACCGCGGTAATTCGGTCCTCCCAAACACGCCTACAATGACGCAACCACCTCCGTTAATTCTCCCACAACCAAAACCGCCAATGAGTTTGATGGGAGCGTTGCAACTTGCAGCCCCTCACAACCCATTGATTTGAATAAACGTATTACAAAGTGGCATAAAACATTCTCGACCAATAAACGAACGAACGAATTCACTGGCTAAATTGGCTAAGCTTGTGTAAAACTGAACATAAATGAACAAAAAAATTTCGAATTAATAAGATGGTTACATAAAAATTTGGCGATATTTGTATAATATTAGATTTCATTTCGTCTTACCATCTTTTTTTTTACTCGTTAAAATGAACAGTTATATATATATACATTTTTTTTTATATTTTTTGTAGATATGTTAGATCACAGTATGACCCATTTTCACATTAATTTACACACACACCTTTTAAACAATTAAGATTCTTTTTTTTTTAATTTAAATGGCTATATCTTTGATTAGCCAAACAAAACACCTTTGTATGATATGAAAAAATTTTTTTGCATATTGAAAAATTTATGAACAAACAAACACAACAAAAAAAAAAATTAAAAAAAAATCATAAATTCACTTTTTTTTTGTAAGATTATGAAATATAAGGTTATCATCATTATGTATAAGGTTATCGTTATGTATATATTAGGTTATCGTTATACATCTGGTATATATATATTTTTTAGGTTATCTATGTATTAGATTATTTGGCTATCGTTATGTATTAGATTATCGTCATGTATTAGGTTCAAATATATTATGTGTGATCCATATCCTGATCCTTGGCGTCCGGATCGGAGTTATTCATTAATCCCCCGTAATCTTTGATATAGTGATCTGGGATTGTGATCATTATATCACAGAATACCTTTATTATAGGTAAATAACAGATATTGTCACAAATACTAATTCCCTAGCATAAATATCGGTTTTGTTCTAATGAGAATATTCGATAAATCAATTTCTTCTTGACGAGACGAATCATTCGATTCTGATTCAATAATTCACAATTCGCCACGATACCCATTTATAAAATAGTCGGTTCAATGAGTGTAACCAAAGAAACTATTTTATCCTTATTAATTTACCCAAAGTTTTGGCTTGCAGGATAAAATTTGGCAAAATGGCACGGAGAATCCTAATATGTTTAACAATTAAACGGTAAATTAATCCTTTTTTATAACATACTAAGTTCTTTGTCAAATTATAGTGTGTAACATAAAAGAAAAAAAATAACGTACGTACGAAATAAAAATCAATATATATACTGTATATATATATATATATATATTATACTATATAACGTAAAATTTTTTCGATCTATTTGACAATAAACTATATACTGCATTCTTTTTTTTTCAATTCCATTATTATCGGAATATTAAAAATTAGCCGCACGTTTGATTTAAATTTATTTGGAATTCATGCATTATAAGAATAATACTTAAACGCTCTTGTTCTTTAACGACGTACGTGCGTACGTACTTACGTATGTATTCCAGCTATTACATCTAATTTTGATAATTTAAGGCCTATTCTACAAATTTGTATCTAGATTCTATTAAATAAAGCTTCTTCGATAGTATATATTTAAGAATAATCATTATATAATTGTTTAAGCATTTGCTTTAAAATTATAAAAAAAGAAATAGTGAGTGCGTTGCTTATCAGTTAATCTATAACTCACCCTCTGTGAACTCATTTAACGAACTCTTGATATTGAGAACCTTCGACATAGCAGAGATTCAATAAAGAATTTTTAATTACGAAATTAGTCGATATGATGAAGTATATATCGTTTTTTCTCGATGTTGTATAAACTATAGTGAAGATTCTTTTTTTTCAACCTGACGATTTCAATATAGCGACAAAGTTGTTTACAATTTTTTTTTACATAGTAAAGGTTGCAATAATTTGTTTTGTTAAAAGAGACACCGTATAAAATACCCCCTCAATAGTGGACCCACCATTTACTATACCGGGTGCAAGGACCTTCTTTGATTAAATGCGGCTCTTTTCAAAAATCCAGATTGTGTTATAAACAGGCTGTGCATTTCAAATTTTTTTTTACATTATATAAATAATACAACTCTCGGTCATGTATTATACTGGTCGGTTAAAAGGTTTTAAAATTGGTGAAATGTAACAGGCCCGGGTCTTGTATACGGCCATTTACGGTAATTAATATGATGCCCAATATTTACCCTTATCTTTAATTTTAATCTGATAAATATAAATTTTAATTTACCGTATTTTCGTGAAATAACGCCCAGGAATGTAATTTCGGATTTTGACCTAAATTAAGCTTAATTCAGGCAATTATTTGAAATCAAGCATATTTCGCGAAAATACAGTAATATATTATAGTTATATACCAAACTGTGTGGGACGTCCCAAACCATGTGATGATTAGAGTCATATTGGTTTTAATCTAGCTTTGCCCACTAGTTAAAAATATATGATGCTAATCATCACATGGTTTGGCTCAACTACAACATATATTGATATTACTACTGTATTATAATAATATATATGCAGTGTTGGCGATTTTTGCGGCTAAAAAAAATTTTTGGGCCGGCCAACTGGCCAACGATCGATGGCCAATAGCCAAACTTCGACCAAAAGTTTCTAATTTATATAATCATATTACTAGGTTTTACTATATAGATTTTTGACCATTCGGTTAAATAATTGTTTTGCCCTTTTGGTCATTGGCCACGGCCAAGTAGCCAAGTGACAACACTGTATATACAGTACATACGTATAACAATTTATAACTATATCTTTAAAATATATGAGGTTTAATTAATATATTCCCGTGATATTTGGCGGAGTTGGCTCAGTATATACTATATACCAGTGTTGTCAATTAGACAGTTTTGGACAACTTTTTATATGCTCAAAACCCTGTCCAAACTATTAAAACTGTTAAAAACTGTCCAATTGACAACATTGCTATATATATAGTTACATAGTATTATTGCACGGGTTTTATGTAACAACCCATGCTTTTTTCATTTACTTATTGGCATGGGATTGTACATCAGACACTGTGCAATAAAATAGTTATTATTTGCACAGCATGGCCTTTGGCCATGTACCCCGTGCAAATTTAGTTATTTTTTACAACCCATACAATAACTATAATGTATAGCAGTGTTGTATATAGAACAATTTTGAACATTTTTTAAAATTAAAATTACTCCAAATTTTATTAAAATAATCTATATTAATTTTTAATTATACATTATGTTTTTTTTAAATTACTTTATTGATTATTTAAATTTGAGATATAAACTTAGATGATTTTGAACAATCTTGAATATTGGACATTAGACATAGTATAGATGCATCTTATATACAACACTGCTATAAGCTGTATAGAGGATCAAATTAGAGTTAATGATAATAATAAGTTTTTATTAAATATTACAACTTTGTTAATTGAGAATATTATTGATTTGAAAGTTAAAAAAAATTTAGAATTTTCTATAGTAGAAATATCTCAAACTTAAGCTATCTTATCTGAAGATTTGGAATTATGACCCTCATGATATATTAAATAATTTTTTAAAGCATGAAAAGCAGAACAAGTAGAATGGTTTATATGTATACTCAATTTAATAATAGATTAAATAAATACTGAAAATCAATAAATTTTACTTGTATACACTATTTGCAAACTCTTTCCAACGATCACCTGGACCAAAATTTCCCACCAAACAAAAAACAAAAATTTGTTGGAGAGAAGAAGACGTGCTATGGGGTGGTTTTTATAAAGGTCAACCTTTTGATTCCGGAGACTCCTTTGCATATTTGGCATACAAACCAGAAGCGTTAGAAACAAGATAACTGGCAAGAGTTGGCGCCCTTGCTTCCAAAATTCTGGAAAAAAGGTGCTTATGAGAAGTTGGGGCC